CTCATGGCTGCGGTTTTCCCCTGGGGGCCCCCTGAGCTCTTTTTTTGGTTGTCCTGGCCTTGGGTCCTCTCTTGATCTCTGCTTCCCCTGTACCCTTACCTCCTCTTGCTGGCTGGTCCCCTCTCCTGTCAGTCTCTACTCTTGCCCCCTCTGACCCCTGTTCTACTGCTCCTCCTTCCCCCTTGCTCCTCTCTCTTTGTGCTTTTTGGTGTTGCCCCCTCTGCCCATGGTGCTTTTCCTTCTTTTGTATGTGCCTTCCTACTGGTGACTCCTATGCTGGTCCCTCCACCTCCTTTCTGTCCTGCTCTCCCTGTGCTCCTCTGTGGCTTTCCTTTTGATGCCTTTCGGCTCACCTCTTGCTTCTTGCTTCTTCTCCGAGTTTACTGTCCATTTCCCATTCCTCTTGTCACTCTCTCCCCTCCTCTCCCTTGCACCTCTGCCCTGTCCTCTGCTTCTTGGGTTCTTTTTTGTTTTTGGCTCTCTCCCTGGTTGGTTGGCCCCTGTCCTTCTCTTTGGGCTCCTCCTTTTTTTGGTGGTCCTCCTTCCTCCCCCCTTCCTCTCCCTCCCCCGTTTTGGCTCTCCTCCTCTCTCACCTCGGAGTGTGGCTGGAGCCTTCTGCTGTTCCTTCTTTGGCTTTTAAACCTGGATGGCCATCTGTCAGGGGTGATTTGAATGCAATATTCCTGCTTCTTGGCAGAATGGGGTTGGACTGGATGGCCCAGGCGGTCTCTTCCAACTCTTTGATTCTATGATTCTATAATCCCCTCTGGCAAGGAAATATCAGTGAAACAGAAGGAAAGTGGGAATGGTAACCATTTCGTCGGCTGATTTTCAGCACTCGGTGCTTGGTTGTAGGCCCTAGCAAGGACTACAGCCAAGTGCCGAGTGTCCCTTATTTGGCGCTTGGTGCTCAGTGCGCTCAGCTGTAAACCCTGGCAGGGCCTACAGCTAAATGCCAAGCATCAAACACCTCTTTTTTGGTGCTCAGCACACTCAGGGCACTCAGCTTTAGACCCTACCAGACCCTAGCTGAGCTTACAGTTGAGTGCCAAATGCCTCTTATTCGGTGCTCGGCAGTAAGCCCTGGCAGGCGCTGGTACTTTGCTGCCAATGGGCCAAAAATATTCATTTTTTCAGACAAATATGCTCATTCAGAAAGATGCCTGTTTTTGGGAGAGGTATTTGAAAACTAAAACACAGCCTTACCAATGAAACAAACAGGAACAGATAGTGATTCTGTTCAAATGCACAAGTCTAGTGAACAGCGACTAGCCGCAATACTGAGAAAGACACCTTACACTTACGTTTTGCTGCTAATATATATTCATTCCCTGATAATCTTCGCAAGCCATCCTGTTTAGGAATGAAAACCATAAAAATCATAAAATTGTTTCTCTTTACTATTCTAGCTGAAAGAAAAAAATATTATCATTTATTTATATAATGTCATCAATGTACATAATATTTTATAAACAGGAACACCAAAATAGATCTTGGCAAAGGTATATAATATAAAATATATGTATATACACACATACATACACAGAGGAAAGGAATAATAAAAATATATATATAACTATATAGTACAATTGTAAAATCCAAATAAATGCAATATAATACAAAGCAAGGTGTCAATTTATGGGCTCTGACCTACAAGAAGCACTGCATGAATATCAAGCAAAAGGTGGGAGCTAGAAAAATATCATACGAAAGCTGACTGGCACAACCTGGGGATCACAACCAGACACAGTGAAGACATCTGCCCTTGCACTATGCTACTCTGCTGCTGAGTATGCATGCCCAGGGTGGAACACATTTCACCACACACTAAAACAGTGGATGTGGCTCTTAATGAGACATGCCACATTATCACGGGTGTCTGCGCCCTACACCACTGGAGAAATTACACTGTTTAGCCGGTATTGCACCACCTGACATCCACCGGCAAGTAGCAGCCAATAGTGAAAGGACCAAGGCAGAGACATCTCCAGCTCATCCCCTGTTTGGGTATCAGCCAGCACGTCAACGACTTAAATCAAGACATAGTTTTCTAAGATCTACAGAGACACTCGCTGGAACACCTTAGCAAGCAAGAGTCCAAAAGTGGCAGGCTCAAACCCAGAACCTCAATCAATGGCTGAAACCAAATGAGAGAGGCACATAGAAGACTGGGCAACTTGGAAGGTTGGCTCTGGCACCACGAGATGCAGAGCCAACCTTAGGAAATGGGGCCACAAAGTGGAATCCACGACATGCGAGTGTGGAGAAGAGCAAACTACAGACCACCTTCTGCAATGCAACCTGAGCCCTGCCACATGCACAATGGAGGACCTTCTTGCAGCAACACCAGAGGCACTCCACGTGGCCAGCTACTGGTCAAAGGACAGTTAATCAACTACCAAGCTTGCAAACTTTGTGTTTTGTTTGTTTGTTTGTTAAAGATGCAATAAAATAAAATATATGGGATTGTTTCATCCATGAGAACTTCAAATGATCTGGCCCTAGTTACTGTGCCCAATTACACCTTCAAGTCTCTTCAAGTCTACGATTCTACGGGACATTTCCAAAATGAACATTGTAGGATTCTACGTACCGTCATCAAACCTCCAACAAGGTCGTTCGTATGTGGGTCTTCATCTTTTGTCCCAAGTTGAGGAGAATACAACTCGGTGGTCCTCAGGATTTCAAGGACTCGATCCAAAGCTTCAGCGACTGGCATGGGACTACTTTCTTGGGCAGCATTGATAATATTGATTACCTAAGTAGAAAGAAAGAAGAAAATCCATGTATCCTAGTCTGGCTTTCCCTTCCACAAATGCTTCTAGGAACATTGCTATGTTGTCATTTAGCATTTTTGGTGGGTCTTCTAGTTACATTTTCAAACACTGGGATAACTAGGTTCCCGAGTGTCGTCAAGCCATCTTTTCAAGCATCTTTTCTTGTTTAAAAAGTACAAAAATCCACACTTAATTGACATGTAAATATACCCCATCGCAAAAATGCTATGACTTTTTTTGCTGACTATAATATTCCCTCTATTATCACAAGGGGTTTATGGTACCATGAAAGCGGGCAAGAAGAGACTAACCAGTTCCAAGAAGTAATTCAATTACTGAACATTCTGTTTACTATTCCCACAATAAGAACATAGGAAGCTGCTTCTATACAGAGTGAAACCACAGGCCTACCCAACTCAGTGTTATCTACATTGGCTTAGCTGTAGAACAATGTCATTGATGGATTAGCATAACGTAAACAAGCCTCTCTTCAATTGCTCTGGCATGGACAGAAGTATACTCAGAGGTTAAGATCTTCTGGGGAGGCCCTACTCTCGATCCCACCTCCTTCGCAGGTGTGACTGGTGGGGAGGAGAGACAGGGCCTTCTCAGGGGTGCCCCCTCATCTATGGAACTCTGTCCCCAGTGAAATTAGATTAGCTCCCTCTCTCCTGACATTCAGAAAGAAAGTGAAGACATGGATGTGGGACCAAGCCTTTGGACAGTAATCTTCAATGCAATAAGTGACTATGGGAAAGTGTAATTTATGACTGGAATGGCCCTGGAATATGACTTTGGGTTGTGTGGTTTTAATTAATTGTTTTAAGATTGTACTGTTTTAATTATTTTGGTTTTAATGTATATGTTTTGTTTTAATTTATGTATGGCTGTGACGCAGCTAGTTAGTAGCCAGCTGCATTAAATCACTACTGACTAAGAGGACATGAGTTTGAAGCCCAGGTCAGAGTGAGCTCCCAACCATTAATAGTCTAGCTTGCTGTTGACCTATGCAGCCTGAAAAACAGTTGCATCTTTCAAGTAGAAAATTTAATAAAGAAGAAGGAGAAGAAGGAGAGGAGGAGGAGGAGGAGGAGGAGGAGGAAGAAGAAGAAGACAAGAAGAAGACAACTTTATTTATACACCGCCACCATCTCCCCAAGGGGACTCGGGGCGGCTTACATGAGGCCAAGCTCAACAGTACATCAGAACAAATATACAACATAAAATACAGATAGTAGAATATAATAAAAATAAAATAAAATACTAACACAATATAGATGAACACACCAAACAATATAAAATAACAGTAATTGGGTAGGGCGAGTTGCGAGAATTAAAAGTTTAAAAACACTGGATAAACAGGCCAAATAGTGTATCTAAACAAGGATCAAAAGTGAGGTTTAATTGCACTAAAAGGTAGAATAAAGTGCTTCAGAGGTCATTTTATGCAGGGTTTGGTCAGGATCAGGGGTAATTATTCATTCATTGAAAGGACACTGGAATAGACAAGTTTTCAGACTCTTCCTAAAGCCTGCCAGAGTGGGGACTTGCCTGATTTCTCTGTGGAGCGAGTTCCAGAGCCGGGGGGCCACCACGGAGAAGGCCCTCTCCCTCATCCCCACAAATCGCACTTGCGATGGGGGCGGAAGCGAGAGAAGGGCCTCTCTGGAAGATCGAAGAGACCATGTAGGTTCGTAAAAGGAGATGTGGTCATGAAGGTAGGCGGGTCCCAAACTGTTCAGGGCCTTGTAGGTAAGAATCTGCACCTTGAATTGGGACTGGAAAATAAACAGCAGCGAATGGAGCTCCTTAAACAGGGGGGTTGACCACTCCCTGTTATTGCCACCAGTTAGTAATCTGGCTGCTGCTCGTTGGACCAATTAAGTTTCCTGGCCATCTTCAAGGGCAGCCCCACGTAGAGTGCACTGCAATAGTCCAATCTAGAGGCAACTAAGGCGTGGACCACCGTGGCCAAATCTGAGTTCAGGTACCGTTTTATGTGGGGAGGCTAATTTAACTAAGTTATGACACCATAAAACCTTCCAGGAGCGTGCACAAGAATGAGGAAGTACTCCATCAAGGACTCTGTGTCACAAGTGGACAGTGAAGCGGCAGCTCCCCCTGTGGCCAGAATCGAGCATACCCTCATGAAGCTGGAATGTTAAATTGCCTCTGTGTCTGTCTATATATGTAGTATGTCTATGCATCGAATGTTTGCCATGTATATGTATATTGTAATCCACCCTGAGTCCCCTGCAGGTGAGAAGGGCGGAATATAAATACTGTAAATAAATAAATATATGTGGCAGTGAATTGTGTCTTTTTTGGGGTGAGTAGGGTGGGATATTAATGCAGTAAATAAATAAATATATCAAGGATGTTCATATTCATTTATCAGCTAGCCATGATTTGATGTTATATCCAAACCAAGCCAACCTAACCTAGCTTTAGAAGAACTATCCAAGGTGCTGAATCTCTTTTGGAAATGGAGTTCATGGCACTCATACAAACTGCAGGACAGCTCAGCTTCTCGTTGTACAATCTATAACAGTGTTTCTCACCTTCCTAATGCCGCGACCCCTTAATACAGTTCCTCATGTTGTGGTGACCCCCAGCCATAAAATTATTTTTGTTGCTACTTCACAACTATAATGCTGCTACTGTTATGAATTATCATATAAATATCTGATATGCAGAATGTATTTGATAGAAATACGCAATATGCCCAAATTTGAATACTGGTGGGTTGGCGGGGGGGGATAATTGATTTTGTCATTTGGGTATTGTAGTTGCTGGGATTTGTAGTTTTGTAATTTTGTAATTTTGCTACTGTTATGAATTGTTATGTAAACATCTGATATGCAGGATGTATTCTTATTGGAGTGTTATGGGAGGATTGATTTTTGTCATTTGGGAGTTGTAGTTGCTGGGATTTATAGTTCACCTACATTCAAAGAGCATTCTGAACTCTACCAATGATGGAATTGGACCAAACTTGGCACACAGATTCCCATGACAGAAAATACTGGAAGGGTTTGGTGGGCATTGACTTGAGTTTGGAGTTGTATTTCACCTACATCCAGAGCACTGTGGACTCAAACAATGATGGATCTGGACCAAACTCAATAAGCCCAAATACTCAAAATATGTGAACACTGGTGGAGTTGGGGGCAGGGGGAATAGACCTGGACATTCAGGAGTTCTAGTTGCTGGGAGTTGTAGTTCACCAACATCCAGAGAGCATTGTAGATCCAAACAATGTTGAATCTGGACCAAATACTCAATATGCCCAATTCTGAACACTGGTGGAGTTGGGGAAAATACATCTTGACATTCCGGAGTTGTAGTTGCTGGGACTTGTAGTTGACCTACAATCAAAGAGCATTCTGAACCCCACCAATGATAGAATTGGGCCAAACTTCCCACACAGAACCCCCATAACCAACAGAAAATACTGTGTTTTCTTATAGTCTTTGGCAACCCCTCTGACACCCTCTCATGACCCCCACAGGGGTCCCGACCCCCAGGTTGAGAAACGCTAGTCTATAAGATATGCATTAGTCTATAAAATATGCATTATAAAGTAATGATATCAATTGGTGAAAAATAAACCAACATATATAAGAAGTAGATTGTCCTCTCGTATAGCTCCATGAATGGAAATAGTGTAGAAATATGACGACAAGAGAAAAATTCCATTTCCAATGTTATTATTATCAGGTTACAGGTTACAGCAGGCATGGGCAAAGTTTGGTCCTCCAGGTGTTTTGGACTTCACCTCCCACAATTCCTAACAGCGTTAATTGTGGGAGTTGAAGTCCAAAACACCTGGAGGACCAAACTTTGCCCATGCCTGGTTTATAGCCAAAAGAAAAATCCATAATCATCTATCAAATAGTGCCACAAAATATGTTAAAAAAATTAAAAATTAGAGGTATTGCTATCAAAATATCAAGATACAATACTACATTTTTGCTCTCTATATTTCTTATGAAAAACAATTAATCTTATGAAAAACAATTAGTCGTTTGATCCAAAGCAAAGTATATTTAAGGCAGCCCACCTTCGTAATAGGTGCTTCAATTGTCATGGAATGTATTCTGGCCATCGATGAATGCCTTCTTTGTGAACTGCCTATCAGGAAAAAATGAAATGAAGTCAATCATCAGTGAGTTGTTGTAGGTTTTTCCGGGCTATATGCCCATGTTCTAAAGGCATTTTCTCCTGACGTTTCGCCTGCATCTATGGCAAGCATCCTCAGAGGTAGTGAGGTCTGTTGGAACTAGGAAAAAGGGTTTATATATCTGTGGAATGACCCAGGTGGGACAAAGGACTCTTGTCTGCTGGAGCTAGGTGTGAATGTTTCAACTGACCACCTTGATTAGCATTTGATTGCTTGGCAGTGCCTGGAGCAATCTTTTGTTGAGAGGTGATTAGATGTCCTTGTTTGTTTCCTCTCTGTTGTTGTGCTGTTGTAATTTTAGATTTTTTTAATACTGGTAGCCAGATTTTGTTCATTTTCATGGTTTCCTCCTTTTCTGTTGAAATTGTCCACCTGCTTGTGGATTTCAATGGCTTCTCTGTGTAGTCTGACATGGTGGTTGTTAGAGTGGTCCAGCATTTCTCTGTTCTCAAATAATAATCAATCATCAGACAGTGATAGCTTATGATAATCTATGTACATTCGCCTCATCCTTTGCCATCATCGTCATCATCATCATCATCGTCGTCGTCGTCATCATAACCACAGTGGTACAATGGGTTAAACCTTTGTGCTGGCAGGACTGCTGACCAAAAGGTTATTGGTTCCTATCTGGGGAGTGAGGTGAGCTTCTGTCTGTCAGCTCCAGCTTCTCATGTGGGGACATGAGAGAAGCCTCCCACAGGATGGTAAAACTTCCTTCCTGGGGGAATCCTTTGTTGGGAGGTGTTAGCTGGCCCTGATTGTTTCCTGACACCTCCCAACAAAGGATTTCCTCTGGCAGGAAGCAGCCAGGTTTGAAGCTGCAAGGCTATTCAGTGCTAATCAAGGTGGCCATTGCAACATTCATACCTGCCTCCAACATACAAAAGTTTTCTCTCCCACCCTGGACCTTATTCCACAGATATGTAAACCCCACTTTCTTAGTTTCCAATAGTCCTCACAACCTCTGAGGAAGCCTGCCATAGATGTGGGCGAAACATCAGGAGAGAATGCTTCTGGAACATGACCATACAACCCGGAAAACTCACAACAACCCATAAATAAGTAATCTGACACAGATAAGGACTTTAAGGAAGTCCTTACAGATGGTCAATTCTCTCACAACAAAAGTGACTTGCAGTTTCTCAAGTCGCTCCTGACATGAAAAAATAATCATTGACTTGGTTTTGTTCCAGTCTGCAAGAAACTGCAAATACATACCATCGCTGCCCCGAGAAGTGGTCGAGCGGACATCTAAAGACCCTTTCCTCCTGTCTTTATGCTTGCAACTCTGGTTATCTATGGAAACAAGGAGACATCCTATTATTATTATTATTATTATTATTATTATTATTATTATTATTAGATACACAACAAGATGATGATGATGATTATGATGATGATGATGATGATGATTATTATTATTATTATTATTGGATACACAACACAGCAAACAAGAATACTATGTTGGCTTCTATTGTAAGGCCACCTTGAGTCCACTCCAAGGTGAGAAAAGCAGGAAATATGGTAAATAAAATAAATAATAAATATTTTGTATTCAATCACACATGTTCCAATGAATCATCTGAGCAATGGTGTTGTGCCTCTGCTTGTAGTCTGTCTGCGTGATTTTCTTGCGTAGACGCCTCCAAGGTCATGTAGCTGGCCTGATTGCATGGAGTGCTGTTACCTTCCTGCAGAAGCAGTACCTATCAATCTACTCACATTTGCATGTTTTCAAACTGCTAGGTTGGCAGAAGCTGGGGTTAACAGCTGGAGCTCACCCTACTACAAAGATTTGAACTTCCAGCCTTTTGGTCAGCAAGTTTAGCAGCTCAGTGGTTTAACCACCGAGGGCTCAAGGGCCTAGATATTCCGAAATATATTATTATTATTATTATTATTATTATTATTATTATTATTTGAAACACAGCAAGATGAGTCCACAGCAGACACTCTGCTGGCTGTTGTATTGGATCACACGTCGGACACTTCCCAAGAGTCTAGGACTGTGTGATGTATCAGTGAATAATGTGTGCAGATCCCAATAAGGTGGCCTTTTGCAGCTGGCAGATGGTAATCTTGTCAGCGCCGATTGTGTTTAAGTGCAGGCCAAGGTCTTTAGGCACTGCACCCAGTGTGCCAATCACCACTGGGACCACCTTTACTGGTTTGTGCCAGAGTCTTTGCAGTTCGATCTTTAAATCCTCATATCGTGTCAGCTTTTCCAGTTGTTTCTCTTCAATCCAGCTGTCGCCTGGGATTGCAACATCGACAATCCATACTGCTGGCTGTTGTATTGGATCACACATCGGACACTTCCCAAGTGTCTAGGACTGTGTGATGTATTGGCGAATAATGCGTGCAGATCCAAGTAGGAGCTGACAGATGGTAATTTTGTCAGCACCGATTGTTCTTAAGTGCAGGCCAAGGTCTTTAGGCATTGCACCCAGTGTGCCGATCACCCTTGGGACCACCTTGACTTCCTAACTGTGAGAGCAGTTAGGAAGTCAGCAGTGGAACTCTCTGCCCCAAAGTGTGGTGGAGACTCCTTCTTTGGAGGCTTTTAAACAGAGGCTGGATGGCCATCTGTCGGGGGTGCTTTGAATGTGATTTTCCTGCTTTTTGGCAGGGGATTGGACTGGATGGCCCACGAGGTCTCTTCCAACTCCACTTTGGCAGAAAAAACGAAATGCAAAGATACAGAATGGGGGACAATGCCTGGCTCGAGAGCAGGACGGGTGAAAAAGATCTTGGAGTCCTCGTGGACAACAAGTTAAACATGAGCCAGGAATGTGATGTGGCGGCAAAAAAAGCCAATGGGATTTTGGCCTGCATCAATAGGAGCCTAGTGTCTAGATCTAAGGAAGTAATGCTACCCCTCTATTCTGCTTTGGTTAGACCACACCTGGAATATTGTGTCCAATTCTGGGCACCACAATTCAAGAGAGATATTGACAAGCTGGAATGTGTCCCGAGGAGGGCGACTAAAATGATCAAGGGTCTGGAGAACAAGCCCTATGAGGAGCGCTTAAGGAGCTGGGCATGTTTAGCCTGAAGAAGAGAAGGCTGAGAGGAGATATGATAGCCATGTATAAATATGTGAGAGGAAGCCACAGGGAGGAGGGAGCAAGCTTGTTTTCTGCTTCCTTGGAGACTATGACGCAATGGAACAATGGCTTCAAACTACAAGAGAGGAGATTCCATCTGAACATGAGGAAGAACTTCCTGACTGTGAGAGCCGTTCAGCAGTGGAACTCTCTGTCCCGGAGTGTGGTGAAGACTCCTTCTTGGAGGCTTTTTAAAACAGAGGTTGGATGGCCATCTGTTGGTGGTGCTTTGAATGCGATTTTCCTGCTTCTTGGCAGGGGGTTGGAGTGGATGGCCCATGAGGTCTCTTCCAACTCTGTGATTCTATGATTACAACAACCAGGTGAATTTTTAAGGAATTTTGATCAATTTTCTTTATACAAATTTGCAGAAACCAACCTGTCTGGGACTCTGCTTGAGCTGTGTCAGCCTGCAAATCAAGAAGGGGGAAAAGACAAAATCAGTCAAGACATGAAGCGTGAAAGCACCTTCCCCTGCTATCAATTAAGTTATATCACCTTTTCTGCTTACCTTGTTGACGTCATTGCATGGTCTACTAAGAGACACATAGTGTCTAATTTTTCTGTAGGGAAAAAAGTGGATAATAACATATTTTGTCACTTCAGATTGCATCTCAAATTCTCTTAAGATGTGAATCTTTAAAAATAAAAATCAAGAGTTTAAAAACTATAGGATTTGTGGGTTGTTGTAGGTCCGGGCTGAACCATGTTCTAGAAGCCCCCCCCCCCTTTTTTTGTTTTTTTTTTCGGGCTATATGGCCATGTTCTAGAGGCATTCTCTTCTGATGTTTCACCTGCATCTATGACAAGCATCCTCAGACCTCACCCTCTGAGGATGCTTGCCACAGATGCAGGCGAAACGTCAGGAGAGAATGCTTCTAGAACATGGTCATTCAGCGCGAAAGACCTACAACAACCCAGTGATTCCAGCCATGAAAGCCTTCGACAATACATTAAATAAGATCTGTGTGCTAAATCATTAAAGAAAATTAATTTCTTAACATTAAAACATTAATAGGAAATGCAGCATTTATTGGTAATATCAATCATTATCAAAAGAGAATTAAAATTAGATTGAAACCCCAATTAAAATGAAAACAGCCAATAATATCTCCATCCCATTTTCAAACTACTCTGCAGAGTAATATAACGCATTAATGAAAAAAAGGATTAACATCATCAGCAATTAGCTGTAAAAATAGAAAAGTTAAAGGTTTTCCCTTGACATCAAGTCTAGTCGAGTCCGACTCTTTCTAAGCCAAAGAGCCGGCGTTGTCCGTAGACACCTCCAAGGTCATGTGGCCAGCATGACTGCATGGAGCACTGTTACCTTCCCGGAGCAGTACCTATTGATCTACTCACATTTGCATGTTTGCAAACTGCTAGGTCAGCAGAAGCTGGGGCTAACAGCGGGAGCTCACCCCACTTCCTGGATTTGAATCGCTAACCTTCCAGTCAACAAGTTCTGCAGCTCAGTGTGCCACTGCAGCCCCATCAGAATAGCATATTTTAAATCGAAATAGGGACAACAAATTAATCTTTAACATGTTATTTCCAACGTTTGTATTTTGGTGACTCTATCCAAATGCACACAATAGATTCAGTTTTCTGTATAATCTTTAATCAGCCCTATATGAATACAACATGTTGATTTTCAGGCTTACCCTCCCTGTCCAAAGACAGGTATGATCTTCACATTTTGTTGTATGCTCTCTCCATTTTTCTTTTTGGTGTAATAAGTTCCTTGCCATTCCTGTGGATGGGATTCAAGGGTAAATAAGAATGATGCTCAGGCTATTACAGCATGCAGACTACTCTCAAAGTATCTACAAGTCTATCTTCATACATTCCTACAGTTTAATATATTCTCCGCATATTTCCTTTTTGAAGAAGATTGTATAATGAGAGATTCCTTCCTTTTATAAGGGATTCCTCCCTTCAAACCACATGAAGGTATGAGTGCATATAAACATGCAAAATGTGCCACTGTGCAAAGAAGCCTGGACAACGATCATCAGACTATACTCGCATCTTGGTTAGACCACACCTGGAATATTGTGTCCAATTCCAAGAGAGATATTGACAAGCTGGAATGTGTCCAGAGGAGGGCAACTAAAATGATCAAGTGTCTGGAGAACAAGCCCTATGAGGAGCGGCTTAAGGAGCTGGGCATGTTTAGCCTTCAGAAGAGAAGGCGGAGAGGAGACATGTTGACAAGCTAGAATGTGTCCAAAGGAGGGCAACTAAAATGATCAAGGGTCTGGAGAACAAGCCCTATGAGTTTCCAAAGAAGGAGCCTCCATCACACTCCGGGGCAGAGAGTTCCACTGCTGAATGGCTCTCACAGTCAGGAAGTTCTTCCTCATGTTCAGATGGAATCTCCTCTCTTGTAGTTTGAAGCCATTGTTCCGCATCCTAGTCTCCAGGGAAGCAGAAAACAAGCTTGCTCCCTCCTCCCTGTGGCTTCCTCTCACATATTTATACATGGCTATCATATCTCCTCTCAGCCTTGTCTTCTTCAGGCTAAACATGCCTTAATGGCCGGAATCACTGGGTTGTTGTAGGTTTTTTCGGGCTATATGGCCATGGTCTAGATGCATTCTCTCCTGACGTTTCGCCTGCATCTATGGCAAGCATCCTCAGAGGTAGTGAGGTCTGTTGGAACTAGGAAAAAGGGTTTATATATCTGTGGAATGACCAGGGTGGGACAAAGGATTCTTGTCTGCTGGAGCTAGGTGTGAATGTTTCAACTGACCACCTTGATTAGCATATAATGGCCTGGCAGTGCCTGGAGCAATCTTTTGTTGAGAGGTGATTAGATGTCCTAGTTTGTTTCCTCTCTGTTGTTGTGCTGTTGTAATTTTAGAGTTTTTTTAATACTGGTAGCCAGATTTTGTTCATTTTCTGGACCTCACTACCTCTGAGAATGCTTGCCATAGATGCAGGCGAAACGTCAGGAGAGAATGCCTCTAGACCATGGCCATATAGCCCGAAAAAACGACAACAACCCAGTGATTCCAGCCATGAAAGCCTTCGACAATACAGATCAAGAGAGCCGTTTGTGGAATTCGGTGCCTCATGTGCCAAGATAATTTGGGTTGCTTTGAATACCATGCGCCTTGTTTGGGGTAAACGCAAGGAACTCTTCTGACTCTGGGAGAGAAATGTCTGGGACTGGCCCTGCTTTTGTGTATGATAATTAGATATGAGCGTTACAAGCATTCTTGATAAAGACAAAGGTTTTCCCTTGACATTAGTTCTAGCCATGTCCGACTCTGGGGGTTGGTGCTCATCTCCATTTCTAAGCCAAAGAGCCGGCGTTGTCCATAGACACCTCCAAGGTCATGTGGCCAGCATGACTGCATGGAGCACCGTTACCTTCCTGCCCATTGAAGCAGTACCTATTGATCTACTCACATGTTCATGTTTTCGAACTGCTAGGTTGGCAGAAGATGGGACTAACAGCGAAAGCTCACCCCACTCCTCAGATTCAAACTACCAACCTTTCGGTCAGCAAGTTCAGCATCTCAGCAGTTTAACCTGCTGCACCGCCAGGAAGGGATAGTATCATCAAAATCCAGGGACACCCTGTGAAATTGGGTTTTGGAGTAGAAAACAGAGTCCATAACACTTTTACTTTTGGAATTCAGATTAGGCTCTTGGGCAAATATTTATCTTTTAGCTTCAACAGTTTGAGTTGTGGGAGATCTGAGTTTTCTGACAGGCCACAGAATCCCAAAATCTGAGATTTCCTGCTGAAGCAGTACCTATTGATCTACTCACATTTGCATGTTTTCGAACCACTAGGTTGGCAGAAGCTGGAGCTAACAGCAGGAGCTCACCCCACTCCCTGGATTCAAAGCACCAACCTTTCAGTCAGCAAGTTCAACAGCTCAGCGGTTTAACCCGCTGCACTAGCAGAGGCTCTGCTCTTGATAAGGCATGCTAACTATCAATTTTTTGCTTTATCTTTTTCTATCCACGTCCTGTTGTTCACAGTAGCTGCACTAATGCCTGAAATGTCGGTGGTTTGAATCCGAGGAGCGGGGTGAGCTCCCGCTGTTAGCCCCAGCTTCTGCCAACCTAGCAGTTAGAAAATGTTTAGGCAAGCTATAATGCAGTAGAGCAGACTCGTTAAAAATCTGCATAAGACGTGACAACAGCTTGACCGATAACAAAAAAATAAACAACCAGTTTTATATATATGTATATTTAAAAACACAGCATTAGAGTTTATTAATGCCCAGATTGTAACAGCACACAAAGAGGGCTTTCATCTCCACTCTCACTGATCTGCTGCCGTTTCTTGTTATTCCTGCGCTATCGTGATCTTTCCTTTGATCATGAGCCCAAGAGCGGGATCTATATTAGTTGCTTTGTTTCATGTGGACTAGAGCTATATTTAGACAGACACTTGAGAAGTATTAATCCACCATGGACTCCTTCAGGAGATATTTTATTAGATTTTGAAGAAGGATAGAGGATTGAAAATGTGGAATGTTTAAGCCCAAAGATTAATTAGTTTTCTTTTTAAGTAAAGTAGACTCTAGAGCAGGCATGGGCAAACTTTGGCCCTCCACGTGTTTTGGACTTCAGCTGGTAGGTTTGGTTCAATTCTATCGTTGGTAGGGTTCAGAGTGCTCTTTGATTGTAGGTGAACTATAAATCCCAGTAACTACAACTCCCAAATGTCAAGGTCTATTTACCCCAAACTCCATCTGTGTTCATATTTGCCCATGTTGAGTATTCGTACCAATCCATCATTGTTTGAGTCCACAGTGCTCTTTGTATGTAGGTGAACTACAACTCCCAAAATCTAAGGTTTAAAAAATGCATAAGGATGTAGGTGAACTACAGCTCCCAAAACGGTGGGTCAATCCTCCCCAAATCCCACCAGTATTCACAGTTGGCCATATTGGATTTGTGTGCCAAGTTTGGTCTAGATCCATCATTGTTTGAGTCCACAGTGCTTTTTGCATGTAGGTGAACCACAACTCCCAAAATCTAAGGTTTAAAAAATGCATAAGGATGTGGATGAACTACAGCTCCCAAAATTGTGGGTCAATCCTCCCCAAATCCCACCAGTATTCACAGTTGGCCATATTGGATTTGTGTGCCAAGTTTGGTCCAGATCCATCATTGTTTGAGTCCACAGTGCTTTTTGCATGTAGGTGAACCACAACTCCCAAAATCTAAGGTTTAAAAAATGCATAAGGATGTAGGTAAACTACAGCTCCCAAAATCATGGGTAAATCCTCCCCAAATCCCACCAGTATTCACAGTTGGCCATATTGGATTTGTGTGCCAAGTTTGGTCTAGATCCATCATTGTTTGAGTCCACAGTGCTTTTTGCATGTAGGTGAACCACAACTCCCAAAATCTAAGGTTTAAAAAATGCATAAGGATGTAGGTGAACTACAGCTCCCAAAATCGTGTGTCAATCCTCCCCAAATCCCACCAGTATTCACAGTTGGCCATATTGGATTTGTGTGCCAAGTTTGGATGTTCGAGCAAGTTTTTAACTAATTTCCGATGTATGGTTATTTTGATCATGGACTTGCAACCAAGGATAATGAACTGAATTACGATTTTAACTATGAGAAGCTTTTTCGATTTGTATTGGTGGCCCGATACTAAGTATGTTCATACTATGTATGTTTTATGTCTTGTATTTTGATATTTTATTTTATATTTTTAAGGTGACTATTGTATTTTAACAAGTTGTAAACCGCAATGAGTCGCCGCACAGGCTGAGATATTGGCGGTATATAAGTGTATCAAATAAATAAATAATAAATAAAATAAATAGATCCATCATTGTTTGAGTCCACGGTGCTCTTTGTATGTAGGTGAACCACAACTCCCAAAACTCAAGGGCAAAGCCCACCAAACCCTTCCACTGTTTTCTCTTGGTCATGGGAGTCCTGTGTGCCAAGTTTGGTTCAATCCCATCGCTGGAGGAGTTCAGAATGACCTTCGATTGTAGGTGAACTATAAATCCCAGCAACTACAACTCCCAAATGACAAATTCAATTTTTCCATTGATGGTCACTCCTTGGGTTCGTAGACTACAAGGAGATTTCATCTGAACTTCCTGACTGTGAGACCTGTTTATCAGTGGAACTCTCTGTCCCAGAGTGTGGTAGAGGCTACTTCTTTGGAAGCTCTTAAACAGAGGCTGGATGGTCATCTGTCGGGAGTGCTTTGAATGCAATTTTCCAGCTTCTTGGAAGGGGGTTGGACTGGATGGCCCATGAGGTCTCTTCCAACTCTATGATTCTATGACTCTATGATTCTATGATCCTAGGTGTCTTTGGTGGCAATTCGTCCAGTGGATTTAGAGTTATGTCACTCAAAACAAACAGAACATTTTTATATAAACAGAAGATAAGACAAATGCCACAGATAATATAATAAAAACTGTTTTTTTATTATTGCCTCTGTGATATTTGTCTTATCAAATATCCTCTCTCAATAGCACAAAACAACCATGCTCCCCCGACACATTCGAACGCACTCCTGGGAACAGTGTGGCACTTCTGTTCATGGCCAGATAGATGCAAATGGCAACCCAAGTGTTTCCTTTCCCGATCATGGCTTTGATACATACACTCCATGAGTCATTCCTTCTTTGCATTAACGGCTAGAACTAGTGCGTAGTCCTTGTGATTAATTGTAGCATCTTCCTCAAATGGAGCGTCAACATCTTTGTGCTTCTTTAACGTGGCATCCATCACCGCGACTGACTCATACAGGGCCAAACGTACGCTGTGACGTGTGTGTATCTTTGAAGTGGCATCCCTCCGTCTCGCTGTTTGTGCCAGCATGACAATGACTGCTTTCTTCCTCTTAAGATGACAGCAATGATATTTTGCTGACCGAGGCACAGTACAACTACGCACCCTGAACATACCGGAATCCAAGGACTTGTTGAGGATTCTGGGCTGCACGATTTGCTCACAAAGCGAAGCAGCCATGTTGAACACAGTTGGGGAGCTCGGCACTGTTTTGAGCATGTCTTTTGTAGCCCTGGGGCTTGCTTGATCTTGCCCCCCATGAATGACTGTAACATTGCATCTAACTTTATGGGCACTCTACAAATTGCACTAGCCTTGGCCCGGCCTTTTAAATTACCTTGAACAGGCAGGGTTATATATATATATTCCACAGATATATATATATAAACCCTTTTTCCTACTTCCAACAGACCTCACTACCTCTGAGGATGCTTGCCATAGATGCAGGCTAAACGTCAGGAGAAATGCCTCTAGAACATGGCCATATAGCCCAAAAACTACATGGATGTGTGTGTATATATATATATATATATATATATATATATATATATATATTATGTGTTTTGTAGGTTTTTTTCGGGCTATATGGCCATGGTCTAGAGGCATTCTCTCCTGACGTTTCGCCTGCATCTATGGCAAGCATCCTCAGAGGTAGTGAGGTCTGATGAACCAACCTGGACACAGTATTTTATTCCTTGGCAGACCGTGCAAAAAGAATCTGCGAAGCCCACCTCCTCTTCCAAGATGAACTGAACCACCTCAACTGGGCTCTCCAGGCCAATGGAGACTCCACCTCAGACATCAGAAGAGCTGCAAGACCGAGAACAAGCCACGAGAGTCAAGATGAAGATCCACCCAGAGGAAAAGTGTTCCTGCCATACATCAAGGGAACCACTGACCGCATAGGGAAGCTGATGAGGAAACACATACAAACAATCTACAAACCCACCAAGAAAATCCAACAAATGCTACATTCAGCAAAGGACAAGAGGGATCCTCTCACCTCTGCAGGAGTCTACCGTATACCATGCAGCTGTGGACAAGTCTACATAGGGACCACCAAACGCAGCATTGCCCAAACACGAATCAAGGAACATGAAAGGCACTGCAGACTACTTCAACCAGAGAAGTCAGCCATAGCAGAGCACCTGATGAACCAACCTGGACACAGCATATTATTTGAGAACACAGAAATGCTGGACCACTCCAACAACCACCATGTCAGACTACACAGAGAAGCCATTGAAATCCACAAGCATGTGGACAATTTCAACAGAAAGGAGGAGACCATGAAAATGAACAAAATCTGGCTACCAGTATTAAAAAAACTCTAAAATTACAACAGCAAAACAGCAGAGAGGAAACAACCAGGCACATCTTAACACCTCTCAACAGAACATTTTCCCAGGCTCAGCCAGGCCTTCAAATGCTAATGAAGGTGGTCAGCTGAAACATTCACACCTAGCTTCAGCAGAGAGCTCTTTGCCCCACCCCAGTCATTCCACAGATATATAAACCCATTTTCCTATTTCCAACAGACCTCACTACCTCTGAGGATGCTTGCCATAGATGCAGGCGAAACGTCAGGAGAAATGCCTCTAGAACATGGCCCTATAGCCCGAAAAAACCTACAGGAACCTAGTGATTCCAGCCATGAAAGCCTTCGACAATATATATATGCTATTGTGATTTTTAATGCTCATATTGTCTTGTTAATTTTATGTTTATGTTGTTTATTTTGTATGTATTGATGATGTTACTTGGAAACCACTCTGAGTCCCCTCGGGGAGATTTATTTATTTGTCATGTCAGGGCAACCAGTCAATTATATTACATTTCTAACAGAACAAAGCAAACAAACAGACAAAATACAAAATTTGTGAGTTTGGTAGTTGATTAAATGTCCTTCGACCAGTATCTGGCCACTTGGAGTGCCTCTGGTGTTGCCGCAAGAAGGTCCTCCATGGTGCATGTGGCAGGGCTCAGGTTCATTGCAGCAGGTGGTCTGTGGTTTGCTCTTCTCCGCACTCGCATGTCAAGGATTCCACTTTGTGGCCCCATTTCTGAAGGTTGGCTCTGCATCTCGTGGTGCCAGAGCGCAGTCTGTTCAGCGCTTTCCAAGTCGCCCAGTGCTCTGTGTGCCATGGGGGAGTCTCTCATTTGGTATCAGCCATTGATTGAGGTTCTGGGTTTGTGCCTGCCACTTTTGGACTCTCTCTTGCAGGATGTAGGTGAACTACAACTCCAAAACGCAAGGTCAATGCCCACCAAACCCTTCCAGTATTTTCTGTTGGTCATGGGAATTCTGTGTGCCGAGATTGGTTCAATTCCATCACTGGTGGAGTTCGGAATGCTCTTTGATTGTAGGTGAACTATAAATCCCAGCAAATACAACTCCCAAATGACAAAATCAATCCCCCACCCAATGCCACCAGTGTTCAAATTTGGGTGTATCGGGTATTTTTGCCAAATTTGGTCCAGTGAATGAAAATACATATCAGATATTTACATTATGCTTCAAAACAGTAGCAAAAATTACAGTTGTGAAGTTGTCATGAAAATAATTTGCTGGTTGGGGGTCACCACAACATGCGGAACTGTGTTAAGGGGTCGTGGCATTAGGAAGGTTGAGAACCACTGGTATAGGGCTTTATACCTTGGATTTAAGAGCTTCTGGGGAGGCCCTGCTCTCGGCCCCGCCTCTATCACAAGTGAGATTGGCGGGGACGAGGAGCAGGGCCTTCTCAGTGGTGGCCCCTCACCTATGGAATTCACTCCCCGGGGAAATTAGATCATCGACATCCCTCCTTTCCTTTAGAAGGAAATTAAAGACATGGATTTGGGACCAGGCGTTTGGGCAATCTGGCAGATAAATAAAGGACAATGACAACTGATAGGAATGGACAATGTGGAATGAAGCTATGGACTCTGAGTTGGCAAACGCTGAGAATGAGATTGGTTTTATTGACTGTGATACATATTATTGTTTTTAACTGTTATAACTGTTAATTGCTGTCTATATAGGTTTATTTGTATTATTGTGCAGGCATCGAATTGTGCCTTTTGTAAGCTGCCCTGAGTCCCCCCTCGGGGGTTGAGAAGGGCAGGGTAGAAGTACCCGAAATAAATAAATAAATAAATAAATATAGGCCAAGACCAGCATATTCAAGCTTCGAACAATCAATTAATTCACCATCAACGTTAAAGGAGATACGAAACTGCAAAGGCACGTGCTTACCTTTTCAATCTTGATGCAAGAATTAATAGTGTCAAGGAAATCAGCTTTTTTTTCATTTGTAGGCACTTCTGTTAGTTCCTTTCCTATTAATTCTCCTTTTTGATAGCCCATCATTGCTTCAAACGCAGGGTTTACATACTGTGCAGGTTGAAAAGAAACAAAAAAGCCAGCGCCTCTGTAACTCTTGAGCGAAATATTAAAAAGCCATCACATCCTGTAAGTAAGCAGGTTTCTTTCTGAGCACAAATGCTATGCTAATAACTGTTCACTATTTAAACCAGAGAGTGCTTATGATGGGTTCCTTTTATTACAGGTTAACAATGGAAGAAAAAAAAAGGGAAATGTGAAAGACTGCTCAAACTTCCGTACAGTGGCCCTTATTTCTCATGCCAGTAAGGGAATGCTCAAGATCCTGCAAGGAAGACTCCAGCAAGACATGGAGCGAGAGTTGCCAGATGGACAAGCTGGGTTTAGAAAAGGCAGAGGAACGAGAGACCAGATTGCCAATATCCGGATGCTGGATAATGGAGAAAGGCAGGGAGTTCCAGAAAAACATCTATTTCTGCTTCATTGACTATTCTAAAGCCTTTGACTGTGTGGATCATAATAAATTGTGGCAAGTTCTTGGTGGTCTGGGCATCCCAAGCCCCCTTCCCTCTCTCCTGAGGAATCTGTACAAGGACCTAGGAGCAACAGTCAGAACTGACCACGGAACAACAGACTGGTTCCAGATTGGGAAAGGCGTACGGCAAGGCTGCATCCTCTCACCCAACCTTTTTAACTTGTATGCAGAACACATCATGCGAGGATGTGCGGGGCTTCACGAATGCAAAGCTGGGGTGAAAATTGCTGGAAGAAACATTAACAACCTCAGATATGCAGATGACACCACTCTGATGGCCGAAAGCGAGGAGGAGCTGAGGAACCTTCTCATCAAGGTGAAAGAAGAAAGCGCAAAAGCCGGGTTGCAGCTAAACGTCAAAAAAACCAAGATTATGGCAACAAGAATGATTGACAACTGGAAAATAGAGGGAAAAATGTGGAGGCCGTGACAGACTTTGTATTTCTAGGTGCAAAGATTACTGCAGATGCAGACTGTGGCCAGGAAATCAGAAGACGCTTCCTTCTTGGGAGGAGAGCAATGTCCAGTCTCGATAAAATAGTCAAGAGTAGAGACATCAGACTGGCAACCAAGATCCATTGCCTAGTCAAAGCCATGGTCTTCCCTGTAGTCACCTACGGATGTGAGAGCTGGACCTTAGGGAAGGCTGAGCGAAGGAAGAGAGATGCTTTTGAGCTGTGGTGTTGGAGGAAAGTTCTGAGAGTGCCTTGGACTGCGAGAAGATCCAACCAGTCCATCCTCCAGGAAATAAAGCCCGGCTGCTCACTGGAGGGAAGGAGACTAGAGACAAAGATGAAGTCCTTTGGCCACATCATGAGGAGACAGCAAAGCCTAGAGAAGACAATTATGCTGGGGAAAGTGGAAGGCAAAAGGAAGAGGGGCCGACCAAGGGCAAGATGGATGGATGGCATCCTTGGAGTGACTGGACTGACCTTGAAGGAGCTGGGGGTGGTGATGGCTGACCAGGAGCTCTGGCGTGGGCTGGTCCATGAGGTCACGAAGAGTCGGAGACGACTGAACGAATGAACAACAACAAACAATGGAACATATGCACCGAATTAATAAAACCAAGATGTCATTACAGATAACCACACAGACACACACATAAATGTATGGTGGTGAAATAACGCTGTGAACTGGAACTAAGTTATACAAACCCACAAAAAAACAACAACAACTGGCACTCATAAAAATGAGCAGAACAAACCTGTATTACATGGTCTTCACTCGTAATCTCAATGGCTTCTTGACTTTTCTCCAGTGCTGTAAATATTGAATTACAAGCCCTGAAAGCGAAAGGAAAACAAGAAGTAGACTCGTGAGACTTGGGCTACTGTTATGAATCGTAATGTAAATACCTGATATGCAGGATACCCGATATGCCCAAATTTGAATACTGGTGGGGTTGGGCGCAGGATTGATTTTGTCATTTGGGAGTTGTAGTTGCTGGGATTTATAGTTCACCTACTATCAAATACCGCTAATGCACCAGATCCTGCCTGATCCTGGAAGGTAAACCGAGTCAATTCCCCCACCCTCCTTTTAAAAATCTGGAAAAAAAAACACCTTTTAGCAGATCCTGGTTCAAAATCTAAATGACTCATTCTGGATATTGACAAGCTGGAATGTGTCCAGAGGAGAGCGACTAAAATGATCAAGGGTCTGGAGAACAAGCCCTATGAGGAGCGGCTTAAAGAGCTGGGCATGTTTAGCCTGAAAAAGAGAAGGCTGAGAGGAGACATGATGAGGGCCATGTATAATAATAATAATAATAATAAAAATAAACCTTTATTTATACCGTGCTACCATCTCCCGAAGGACTCGGTGCGGCTTACAAGAGGCCAAGCCCAAATATATCAGGAAACAACAATAACAATAATACAACAATAAATTAACTCAAAAACAAAACAATAAAAACAAAGTAATAAATATTAACATAACACCACGACGCATTAAAACCTATGGCAGGACCAAATGTAATAATTAATTTTTATTAAATATGCTGGGCATGACCAGGTGAAAAGGATAGGTATTTGGAGGGGGGTGGGGCGTGCAGATGTCCTAGATCTCTAGTAAAGTGCATTTGGGGACATCTTGCTTGGAGTTTCCTTATTCTGGGAAGGCACACTGGAACAACCACGTTTTCAAGCTCCTCCTAAAGATTGCTAGTGGGGCCTGCCTGATGTCCTTAGGGAGAGAGTTCCAGAGTCGAGGGGCCACCACCGAGAAAGCCCTATCCCTCGTCCCCACCAATCGCGCTTGCGATGCAGGTGGGATCGTGAGCAGGGCCATAGAGAGGAAGAAGCAAGCTTGTTTTCTACAGCTCAGGAGACTAGGATGCAATGGAACAATGACTTCAAACTACAGGAAAAGAAGTAGATTCCACCTGAACATTACGAAGAATGTCCTGACTATAAGGAGAGCTGTTCAACAGTGGAACTCTCTGCCCCGGAGTGTAGTGGAGGCTCCTTCTTTGGAGGCTTTTAAACAGAGGCTGGATGGCCATCTGTCAGGGGTGCTTTGAATGCAATTTTCCTGCTTCTTGGCAGGGGAGTTGGACTGGATGGCCCATGAGGTCTCTTCCAACTCTATGATTCTATGATTCTAAATGTAATGGCAAAGCGAGACAGGCTTACCTTAATTTAAATTGTGTCTGCACTTCTCCAAATTCGAGCTGAATGAGTTCATTGTAACAGGCCATGATATTCGAATTTTCTACGTATCTCTATATAAAAAAGTACACACACAAAATAAAAAAGTTAGAATGATTCTTTTGCTTATTTATGTGTTGCACTCCAGGCCTGGAAACACTTATGATCACCGCACCACACAAGAGTCCAGGTATATAAGCAAACCATTTATTGTAAAAACATATAAAAAGCCTATTAAATCAGGAATAAGAAAGGGAAATATATAATCCAAAAAGGTTTAGCAATAGGTGATAACCAAACAATAATCCAAATATCTCATAAAGTTCCAGAGGTGACAAAGTCCAGGAACAGCCAGAAATCACAGATACAGCATAAATCCACAACCAAGAAGGCATAACTAGTAAAACTTGAACAGGAGTACATGAACAGGGACATAGAAAACTTCCAGGATATATTAAATCCAAAATCAAAGCTTGACTTGATCCAAGAACAAGAGAACTCAGGCTTAGCTTCTCACTCTAATGCAGCATTGCCTGAACTGACCTTAAAGTAAACAAACTGTTGTTTAATAGACACCCATGAAATCATGTCTTTCCCCGTGAATTTCCTTCTCTGAACAACACAATCTATTTTCAGCTCTGATTTGTAAATGAAGACTTTTGTTGATCTCTGTAGCTACAGGTGGGTTCCCATGGGAACTCTCCTTATCACTCAGCTCTTCACTTAATTCCTTATCTTCTGTTGCTACTTCTGACTCCTCTGAATGCCCTTGAAGCCTTGCACTTTCTGAACCAGTTTTCTCAAAGAGAGAACCATCATTTCCCAAACTTGAATTTCCCGGACATGAGAGCCCATCACTTTGTGCCACAGGAAAGCTCACAATCCTCATCACATTCTGGTAGCTGATCTATAACATTATCTCCCAATAACTGTAGGATTTTTTAAAAATAAGAATTATTTCTGATGTGCTAATACAGTGATTCTCAACCTTCCTAATGCCACGACCCCTTAATACACTTCCTAATGTTATGGTGACCCCCACCATAAAATTAGTTCTGTTGCTACTTCATAACTGTCATTTTGCTGCTGTTGTGAAACGTCATGTAAATATCTGACATGCAGGATGTATTTTCATTCACTGGACCAAACTGGGCACAAATACCTGATACGCCCAAATTTGAATACTGGTGGGATTGGGGGGGGGGGGGGGGGGGGTTGATTTTGAACCAAACTTGGCACACAGAACTCCCATGACCAACGGAAAATACTGGAAGGGTTTGGTGGGCATTGAGCTTGAGTTTTGGAGTTGTAGTTCACCTACATCCAGAGAGCACTTTGGACTCAAACAATGATGGATCTGGACCAAACTTGACACAAATATTCCATATGCTCAAATGTGAGCACTGGTGGAGTTTGGGCAAAACAGACCTTGACATTTGGGAGTTGTAGTTATTGGGATTTATAGTTCACCTACAATCAAAGAGCATTCTGAATACCACCAATGATGGAATTGAACCAAACTTGGCACAAACACTGGAAGGGTTTGGTGGGCATTGACCTTGAGTTTGGAGTTGTAGTTCATCTACATCCAGAGAGCACTGTGGACTCAAACAATGATGGATCTGGACCAAATATGAAAATAGTCCTTGTCATTTGGGAGTTGTAGTTGCTGGGATTTATAGTTCACCTACAATCAAGAGCATTCTGAATTCCACCAACGATGGAATTCAACCAAACTTGGCACACAGAACTCCCATGAGCCAACAGAAAATACTGGAAGGGTTTGGTGGGCATTGACCTTGAGTTTTGGAGTTGTAGTTCATCCTACATCCAGAGAGCACTGTGGACTCAAACAATGATGGATCTGGACCAAACTTGGCATAAATGCTCAACATGCCCAAATTGAACACTGGTGGAGTTTGGGGGAAATAGATCTTGACATTTGGGAGTTGTAGTTGCTGGGATTTATAGTTCACCTACAATCAAAGAGCATTCTGAACCCCACCAACGATAGAATTGGACCAAACTCCCACACAGAACCCCATGACCAACAGAAAATACTATGTTTTCTGATGGTCTTTGGCAACCCCTCTGACACCCCCTCGCGACCTCTCCAGGGGTCCCGACCCCCAGATTGAGAAACACTGTGCTAATAGATTCCCCACCAAATGCCATTTAAACCATGAATAATTTGTCATAAAGTTAGACAGATGAAGCTTACTATACCATGATATGGCATGTCAGAGCAGTGCTATCAGTCTGCTATCTCTGGGACTGGTAAAAAGACCAAAACAAAGAAATCTACTTACTCTTGTGAAGCCAGCAGAAAGGAAGGGTAATATTGAGGATTCTTCACGATCTGCATGTCTTAAGAACAGAAAAGGAAGAATAACAAGATGGCACAGATCAATGTCAACGTCATCATCCCCTTCACAATTTAAAGTCTTTTGCACAAACCCACGGTGACTTACACCACCAACATCACCTCCTTAAAACAAGACAAAAATCCAATAACAACACAATAGTAGGACATATTAGATGAAAACGGTCTACTTCAATGTGTTGTCGAAGGGTTTCATGGCCAGAATCACTGGGTTGCTGTGAGTTTTCCAGGCAGGAAGCAGCCAGTCTTTGAAGCTGCGAGGCCATTCAATACTTATCAATACTTATCAAGGTGGCCAACTGCAACATTCACACTTGCCTCAAACAGACAAGAGTTCTTTCTCCCACMCTGGACATTCCACAGATATATAAACCTCAATTTCCAACAGACCTCACAACCTCTGAGGATGCCTGCCATAGATGTGGGCGAAACGTCAGGAGAGAATGCTTCTGGAACATGACCATACATTATTTTTAGGGTAGAAGGTGCTTTTCCCAACACAGAACCTAAAGCAGTGTTTCTCAACCTTYTAAATGCCATGACCCCATTTTGAGGTGACCCCCAACCATAAAATTATTTYCGTTGCTACTTCATAACTGTAATTTTGGCTACTGTTTTGAATTCTAGAATCATAGAGTTGGAAGAGACTTCATAGGCAATCCAGTCCAACCCCCTGCCAAGAAGCAGGAAAATTGCATTCAAAGCACCCCTGACAGATGGCCCTCCAGCCTCTGTTTAAAATGTAATATAAATATCTGATATTCAGAATGTATTTTCATACACCGGACAAAATTTGGCACAAATACCCGATACGTCCAAATTTGAATAATTGTGGGTTTGGGGGCTGGATTGATTTTACCATTTGGGAGGTATAGTTGCTGGGATTTATAGTTAACCTGCAATCAAAGAGCATTCTGAACTCCACCAACGATGGAATTGAACCAAACATGGCACAGGACTTCCCTGACCAACAGAAAACACTAGAAGGTTTGGTGGGCATTGACCTTGAGTTTGGGAGTTGTAGTTCACCTACATCCAGAGAGCACTGTGGACTCAAACAATGATGGATCTGGACCAAACTTGGCACAAATACTCAATATGCCCAAATGTGAACACTGGTGGAGTTTGGGAAAAATAGATCTTGACATTTGGGAGTTGTAGTTGCTGGGATTTATAGTTCACTTACAATCAAAGAGCATTCTGAACCCTACAAACAATAGAATCGGGTCAAACTTCCCACTCAGAACCCCAATGCCCAACAGAAAATATTGTGTTTTCTGATGGTCTTTGGCGACCCCTCTGACACCCCCTCACGACCCCCTCAGGGGTCCCGACCCCCAAGTTGAGAAACACTGACCTAAAGGAAGCACCAACTCCCTTTTCTCTCTCCAATAAACTAAGTTGTTTCAGATCATCAATAAACTAATTATGAAACACTGTGTAAAGGAGCCACTGCCTTCGAACTCAGTAACTACACTGCCAACCAACATTTTTTTTTAATCATAGGGGAGAAGCCATTATTTCAGGATTACAGGGTTGTTGCAATCATGGACTTTGCATTCATTTATTATTTTACTTGAGAACATTATGATATTTCTCATTTACCTTCGCACGACACCGATAATAACAGTGCTTTCGGACGGCTTTGTTGTTCTAATGGACCTATAAAGAAAAAAGAAATGAAAATAAGTTAATAAGTGTGGCAATGCCCTTGAAAAATCAAGAAAAAAATAGGATTGGACTCTTCTAACAATCGATTAAATCAAGCAAACAGACACAAGGGATTCGACATGTTGGCAGAATAACATGCCACTCCTCAACAATGGGAGGTGAGTTTCCTAAAAACAAGATTCAACCAATTTTCTTGACATTATGGATATTGAGAATTGTAGTATAAAATACGATATTTTCCAAATTCCTGGAAACTCTGGCCAGTTTGTGCAATACTGGGAGCTGAAGTCCATAATGCTGGGAAGGACACAAATTTTGAACTCCATACCATACTGTGTCTACAGAATGTATGATATTCTTGAACTTGAAGTCCTTCGTTTCAATAGGATTCGCTATGGTTTCAGGTATATATTCCTTGTGGATATGGAGATCATACTGTTCCTTCCTTTGCAATGG